AACAGTTTTCTGGTCTGTAATAGCAAAATAAGTCGAAACGCCGAGACAGTCTTCGCCTACTGTGGCACCAAATCCAAACGCTGATACAGAGACTGGTTACCTCTGTAGAAGCACCAAGTCGAAACGCCAAGACAGCTGCTACTCGCTGGGCACTAAGTCGAAACGAGAGAGTTACTCACTAAAACTTGAGATGAAGACTCATTAAAAATGAACGAGAGAGTTACTCATTAAAACTACCTAAGTCGAAACTTTTTCTTTTATCCCTAAAAGAGCCCGCTGGAGGATTGCTTTGCTTTCTAACATCTCTTTCTGTTATCAAAATGCTCTTTAGCACTAGGCGTCTAGTAAGCGATAGCTATCGCTTACCTAGACAAAGGCCGAAGCACCACAGACACACTTCAAGCACAAACTCGTATTTGTAAATAAATCTAGTTAGAACGGCCTCGGCCAAAGTCTTACATAGCCTCGAGCTCACTAGACTCTAATGGAACAATAAAATAAAATAAAATAAGCTTCAATAAGCTCCTGCGTTCCTATTGGCCCCTCTAGTCTTGGCATTAGTGTGGGTGGTCAATGCGTGCAACGGGTCAGACAATGCAACACCCCCTGCATCTCCCAAAGTAGAACCCACTAATTTCAAATCCCCACAACTCCACCACTATGATAGCTATCGAAAAAGCGCTTGTGGCAATTAATTCGCAAGTTCTAGAAGGACAAATCTCGTACCGTGCAGCTGTAAAAATATATAGTGTTGCGGCATCAACTTTGACGCGTTGCCACTAAAACAAAACGCGGTCGCGTGCAGCCGCTGCACACCCACGACGACTACTCTTACCATAACAAGAGAAATACCTTGTCTAGCACATAGAAAAACTCTCTAAGCGTAGTACTCTACTGTCCTAAGAGATAATTAAAAAATATGTTACTAATATTGCAAAAAGACAGCCATCTAACAGCTAGGTTACAAGATTTCTTCGGCGGAACAGAGAGAAAATTATTACTAGAAACACCGCTGGCATTAACTAAAACCGCAAAAAAGCTAACGATTTTAAAGATTACTATAATTACTTCCGTCTACTTTACGATTATATTAAGAAATACGATATCTAGCCGCAAAATATCTATAATATGGACGAAAAGGGCTTTCTCCTTAGTGTCACTTTAAGGACTAAAAGGGTGTTCTCTAAGAGACTTTAGGATAAAAAGAAAGTTCGAGCAGCTGTTAGAGACGGCAGCAGGGAGTAGATAACAACTTTAGACTGTATTTGTGCTAACGGGAGCTGGATATCGCCTATAATAATCTTTGAGGGCAAAGCTAGACTTCAAAACAACTAGGTAGAGCACCTAGATCCTTCCTAACACTAGATGTTTTTTGCTACTAGCGACTTAGGCTAGAGTAACGATATCCTAGGGCTATCTTAGCTTAAGTAGGTGTTTTAGCGCCAAACGAAAGACAAAGCAAAGCGCGATTATTAGTTGCTAATCCTAGACAGTTATAGGAGTCATTAGACTCTAAGTTTTCGAGAGTTTTATAACTCTAACAGGATTCTCCTAGCTACTCTCCCTCCCCACTCATCTTACTAACTCCAGCCACTTAACGTTGGCATGTTTAAGCCCCTCTCGAGCGCGTATACCAAAGAACTTAATAGTCTGTCCTACCGCAGTCAAGGCTTGGTGGAGGTGCACAAAAGTGACTTTTTATAGTTATTTTAGGCGGCGTGGACACGGGCGTTCACGTCTAACAAGATACTAAGCTATTTTTAAGCTACTAGCGTCCACCTATAGGATAGTAATGCCATGCTTAAACATCTTAAAAAGTCAACACTATAACAAGATATTAATCTAGAACTTGGAGAGCATGGTGATAGGGATACTACAAAAGAGCTATCTAATTTTCTAGACAAAACTATGACGGGTTGTGCTAAAGTTATAGTCTCTGCGGTGAAAGACACTATTGCTTCACTCTAGGTCAACAACGAGATTTTGCACCACGAAAACACTAATCTACGAGAAGTACTTGCTATCAAAAATCATCTAAAGAAGCAAAAGAAGCCTCTAGAGCTCCAGCAAAGCAAGCAGTATCATACTCCGGCGGTGGTGTGGAGTCCTAGGACAATAGAAGATGCGAGAGCTCAAGAACGTCAAAAAAAACACCAAGAAGAGCTTGAAAAACTCAAAAAAAAAAGAGAAACAACAGGAACGAGCTGCTAGTATAGCTCTACGAAAAAAATTAATAGACGAGGCAAGGACTGCGCGGGAGTTAAAGAAAATAGCGAGGGATAAAGAGAGAGAAGTGAGGGCCAAAGAACTCCAGTTAAGACGCGCCCAAAAAGCTCGCGATCGCGCAGTCGCAACTTCAAAAAAAGCTCGCAATAAGCAAAATATACCTAAACAAAAAGCTTCATCGTCTCAAAAGTCAAAAAAGTCAAAGGGTGGTGGTGATGCAGGCAGCCAAAGTGGTGGTGCGTCTGCATCGTCGGCTGCGCAGCCCACCACCAAAACAACGATGCGCGGCCGCAACATCAAACTGCCAAAGAAATTTGAGTAGATAGGATTGTTTTTTGAACTATTTAGACTACTCCACTAAAAAATCTCGTGATAATAGCTTTTGTATGGTGCTCTACAGCCTCATTTTTGATAGGCGGACATTTT